ATCCCAAATACTACTTGTGGTGTACAGAACAGATTTATTTTGCTACATTAACGGAATAATTAAAGAATAGAACTGATGGAGATGTGTAAAATGAAGCTTCCAACAATTGTGAGAAAGTGACCATTACAGGAGAAAAACAGCTGTACATTTTTTCCAATAACTTTTTAGCTCATGCTGTGTCACAACTAGCATGCCAACAAAACAAAATCACAACCAATTATACCCTCTATAATTTTTATGCAAATAGACTGTTGTACAGTTAACATTACTCATATAATGGAGACTTCTAAATTCTCCATTCTCGTTAATTGATTTAGAAACTGTCCAAAAGAAAATGATTCATGGAAGACCATAAATATTGTATAAGATCATAATTCTTTAAAACATAATTATTCATTCTTTTCACAACAGGGAAAATGCTTGGACTAAACAATACTTGGCAACTGTACTTCCAAGCTTAATTTGAGTAAAACCAAGAGAATCCCATGGGTCAAGGTTAAATTAGTTAGAGGATATATACTTTTTCCCCTAATTTAGAAAAGCTGATGGGAGAATATTTTGGCTGGAAAGATAGCCAGAGGGAAAATGGCTATACATCTGGCTAGCGTGCTTCGTTATTTTTCTGATTAAGTTCACAACCTCCTGGTGCTTTTCATGAAAAACGGACAAGCAGCTGTGCAATTCCCTGTGTAATTTTGAGTCAGATTGCCAGGACTGATATTTGCAGGGTAAGTATGGACTAGAATAATAACTTGCAATAGGACATAAGGTTAGATCTCATTTTGCTTGCTGGAAGTGCTATTTACTGAATCTAGATAGTCATAAAATGTTTCTTAAAATGGATGAAATCCCAATTTATTCTCTGATTCTGCTTTATTCACCATCTGGGAACTGTTTGCAGTTGAAAACATTTTTAAAAGGCTCATCTCACATTACACAAATTCTACTGTAGAAATGCCAACAAGAGCGCCCCCCCCTTCCAACTCCGATAAAACGTTTTGTAAATACCATCCTGGGCAATAACCACCAAATTTCTAAGCCCAGGAAAGCCTGCATATCATTAAAATGGCTAATTAGTTCAGTTTGTTTGGATTCCACCACTGAAACAAAGCCCAGATTCTAAAAATTAATCAGATGCGCAAACAGAGGTCACTGAAATGTAAATTGATGCAAATGTTTGTGGATTTATGTCCAAGAAAAGTTGTGTAACCTATGCCAAAATCTCATCTCACTCATCCAACATTTTATTAGCAGGCTTTGGAGATGAAGTTTGGTTTCTCAAATGGCTACCAGAATTAGCCCAGTGAAAGTTAATGCTGAGATGAAGTTAAGCAATTTTACCGAATGACTACATCTCATTAAATATTGAAAAGTAGAAATGTAATTGCAATTGCATGGAATTGAACATTGCAAGATGCACGGCATGATCCCCCACTTAGACATGATTCATTGTCATCATTCCTTTGCATATCACAAGAGGCAGGAAAGTACTTTCCTTAATAATCTCTAAACATTACATAGGATGAACTACACAGTAGAGGATGTTATGCAATAAATCATTATATAGAATAGTGGTTTTCAACAGCAGCCCTGTGTATCTTATAGGGTTCATTTACCCAGATTGAAGACACCCTACTAACCATTTGCCAAGGACATGTCCTGACAAGTGAATCTCCATTTTGTGGCCAGCTTGTTACTGAGGCAGGCTGGCACTGAGACAAGGTGTTCTGGCATCTTATGTTGGCATCAGATCTCCCTCATGGACAATCCACAACACACACAGGAGAGACTTTGGAGTTGGCAACTTGCTTCAGTGGCCTAGCAGGTCTACTATAAGACTGACTCTCTTCTACAGCCACTAGGTTCCACTTGTGTTGCAGCTGGCAAAGACTGGAGACCTCTCTTGCACAGCTATTCCTTTCTTTCTGATGTGTGTGCGTGTATATGTGTTCAGAGATGGGAATACTGACTTCATGTAACATGTGTTCCAGAAAATCAATATTCCAATTCTTCCATAAAACATGTGATTTGCTGAACTCAAAGATGAGCTGGATTCAGAGATTCAATCTTGAGAGAGCATGTGTGATATGTATCTGTGCATGTCTGTGTATCTGCATATATGGATATATATATATGTAAGTAGGTCTGTATGTGTGAACATGTATACACACAGAGAAAGAATGTGAGATCTGCAACAGACAGACATTCTAAAATATTCTTCCCCTCCCTCTGATAAACACAAGGTGGATTGTACCACCATTCCACCAGCTGCATTCTCCAAGATTTGACTGTGCACGAATCCATTCAGGCTTCGATGAATTTGCTGACTTCAGCCAGATCAGTAAGTTAAGCGTCTCCTCTATTATGCACTCAGGGAAGAGGCAGCGTCAGAACCATCAAAGCCACAATTCGGGGTGGGTAGAGAAGACAACCAGTGCTCTTCTACCACCATAGTATGATCTCCCTGACACAGAGCCAGTTGGTGATTTTACTTTTGATCATCTCTACTTTTAAGTTTGTCTCATGCCAACCTGGATGTCAGCTGGATTGTGTTGTATTTTTCCATTGACAAAAGCCTGGAGTTTTCAACTGCCTTGATCACCTCACTTCCCCCCTCCTCTCAGCAGCAAAGTAACAACAACAGGAACAACAACCAACCCAGACCCTTATTTTAAAGAATATACAAACTGATAAAGAATCTGAGCAGGCTGCTTTAGATTTAAACAAACAAACAATGGTACAACAAAAATAAGTATTAAATAATTATGAAATACCTAAATAAATAAATGATACTTAATGATAATACAACAAAGACACACCAACCACTGGTTAACCTGACAGGACACGTCCTTGGGGACAACCATTGGGGTGGCTGAAGAGGGAAGGTGAAGGCAGGGCAAGACTTCCAGTGGGGACAAGAAGGAGTAGCAAAGTCTTGGGATGCCTTTGTGGCATGCTTTAGCACAGCTGCTTTGCACTACACAGGCTATTTTTGTCACGGGCATATCAACCACCCAGTCTTCCAGGAGAACAAGAGACTGATAGTTCCCTAGAATTAAACAAAGAAAGATAGGAATACCAAGCCTGATCTATCAAAACCAAGCAACCCTCCCCACCATCCCTGAAAATATTCTAGCTGACTACAGATGAAGGGAGAGGGAGCACCTGGAGTCCCCAGCCCCCACTGGCCACACGCTCAGGATGGTGATAGGCAGGTCATTTTCCTGCTGTAGATGATACTGGAGGTGGAAGAATGGCATGGAATTCCTCAATCACTGCCCATTATACCAGCATGTGTGTGGGTAGCAACACTGACCACTCCTATTTCTGAGGGCAGCACTTTGGCTACTGATGTACTTTCCTTCAACAGAAGGACAGAAGGAAGTAGCATGTAACTCAAAATTTCTCTGGATGCCATTGCATATTCCCCCAAGTTGACACTTTTAAAACCCGGGATAAATATTTTTCCATGATACTCACAAATTTCCCTGTCTAGAGTGAATAAGACTTGATTGCATCTATGTCCAACTCATTACTTAAAAAAAAAAAATCACAGGCCATGCTGTATTTGTTATGTACTCTGGTCTGTTACAATTAACTGATGAGGATGAGGATGATTGGGCAGTAGCAGAATTGGGCTCCTGGTGCTCTCTGAGCTTGGTTGTTTTCTTGCAGACATTTCATTACCAGGCTAGGTAACATCATCAGAGCAAGGGAGATTCAGTTTGCTGGCCATTTATATACAGTAGCTTGCCCTATCAATCCTGATGGAGATGTGGCTTCCTCCTTGATGATTCCTTGATAAGGGTATTGTTTTTTTCCCTGATTGTTTATCTGGTGCTGTTTCCCATTACCCCACTCTACCTTGCACTGATGATGTAATTTAGACTGGGGAAAAAATGTCTGCAGGGAAACAACTAAGCTCAGAGAACACCAAGAATCCAATAGTTCAACCCTGAGTTACAGATATTCTCTGCTATTAGCAATATATATATGCCAAATATAATTTCATCATGAAATGTGCTGGTTTGAGTTACCGCCCAAATGAAAAGTTCTCCACTTCTACATAACCCATGTTATAGATACATCTTAAGAAATATAGGAAGGTTGGAAATGTATAAACTATGGTCTTTCCCAATCCAATACTCTCCAGTTGTGTTAGGAATTGTCACATCTGGAGAATACGAAGTTGGGGAAGTCTATTCTAATTTATGGCATATGTAATATGACAAAATACAACTTCAAAGATTAGCATCACAATGTTACATCATAAGATAATAATAATAATAATGCTTAATAATCCACCTTGGCATTTAGCATATAAACCAACCAAGACAAAGCTGAAGTTTCTGAATGATATTGACCATGTTTAAAGGGAGCAATTCCAAAATGCTATATATTTAACTTTGCAATTAAAATATTTAGGAACAATTGTTGCTTCCATGTTAATCAGCATAAAATGTACTGATCAAGTTAGAATCAGTTTGTTTAGATCAAGATGTGGCAGTCACAATGCCAGCACTCTGCATGTGTCTTTCTATAAACACAGTTACTCCATGAATTAAGTACTCACGAGCAGACATAGTGAAAGAAGCCCCTTGGGTTACTGGAAAGGTTAGCGATCAGTATCAAAATGTAAGATTGCAGCCTCATTAAACATGCTTTTAATTAATTTAATTCTTAGTTTTAAAAAATTCTAATGAAGAATTTTAGTTACCAGTTAGTTTGCACTGAGCTATTATATGTGAAATATCAGTAATAACAAAATCACATGTGGATTTAATTTAATTCCTGGAGTGCTTTGGAACAAAGGTTTGATCTGCAGGTGTAACAACTCTCATGTTACTTCTATACATGCTGAAAAAACTACAAGGACAGTGACAAAATCTACACATTTTCATATTGCATCTAGAAGCTTGCAAGTATTAGCTAATCTATGCAACAAAATGAATGTGCATGTGTTTTACACTGAACCCACAATCCCCACAGTACCATATCAACTCAAGTAAAATAATTTTGTCTCATTGTTCTATGTTAAATCTTCAGTTAAACATTCTCTTCAAGAAAGGAACCCAATATTAGGAATGTATTATTGGGATAGGGGATACTTTATTATTTATTACTGGGGGTAGGTCAAGACCAGGTCCCCACCATCCCCTTGGGACCTTCTTGAACGGCTCTGCTATTATGGATGTTAGCAGACCTCTGTGAAAATTAATGGACAACTTGGCGGAAGAAGCAAAACATCTGCTCAACAGCAAGTTGTGTGGATGAGTCTCTAGGGCACTCTCTTGCCTTGGGTGTGAGTAAACACCTTAAAGGCAGACGAACCCATCTGATTTGGTCAGTTGCATGGAATGTGCAAGAGATCAAGGCAATCTATAGTCAACATGAGTCAAAGCCGACACAGTGAAGACTCATGGTCATCAATCTCCTGGAAGGAGAAGTCACTTGAACAGAATGATCTTATTGTACTTGTTAAAAGCACCTCATTACACTTAACAAAAGCATGTTAGATTTAAAGAATAAATGTTTCATTAAACTATTTATTGTGCATAAAAGTGGATAAACTCCACTCACTGGTCTTTCATGTTCAAGGATTGAAGACTTTCCTGGCTCATATTCAAAAATGCTTCTTGGTTCTGAACGAAATTTGCGGGTATCTACTTTTCTATCAGGAGGCTCCCACTCGTTTCTAAAAATAAAAATAAATTGACAACTGATTTATCTTCCAATGCATGCATCACAAAGGTTTTTAAGGTCAAATTAATGGATATTTTTCATAAAACTGGAATAAAAGTTCCACTACAATAGAGATTCTCTTGATTTTGAATTGAATTTCTAAGATTACTACACAGAAAATTATATGCCATATTAATATAATTATATTACATTTAAACATCAAAAGGCAAAAAGGTACTTTTTTTTTTTTTTTAAACTAAATAAATACTGAAACCTGGCTGAGTGAGATCTGCCTGCCTAGGTTTTGGGACCTTCATTGGCCATGATACCGAAGGAGTGAGATGGAGTGGTGATCTGACTCCACCACTAAAATTGGTGGCAGCCAGGGGCTTTGCGCATGAGGTAGTGGGCTGTGAGTACCTGTTTGTAAAATTGAGCTATAAGGACAAGTTGGGCATTTAGCCTGCGTACCACCCATCTTGCTGCTTGACAGAAACCCTTGCTGGGCTCCTAGAATAGTACCAGAGCCTCCCCAGCTTATAGTGCTGGGGGGCTTCAATTTACATGTCTTATGATGGGCTCTGAGTAGAGTTCAGGAATTGCTGGCCTTCCTGGCCTCCATGGCAATTGTGGGCTTGTCCCAAATAATCTGTGGCTCAATGCACATAGGTCGTCACACATTAAAATGAGTCTTCACTTTATAGCAGTAGCATCGTGATTAAAAAATGGAAGACATAGTTCATGATTCTTTGCTGTGGCCAGATCATTCCCTGATTCCCTGCAGGGTGGAAGGACCCATTAAATTGGTCTGCTCTAGGTGTCTTCTGGATCCAAATGGATTCCAGCAGGTGCTGGGGATTTCCATAGCAATCTTAGTCAACTCAGCCAAATCCCTAGTTCAGCTCTGGAATACAAAGGTGACAAGAAGGCAAGGCCAATTGTTCCTAAGTAGCCTCTCGTTGTAAATCCTGAGCTAACCTATGTTTGCTAAGTTACTCTGGGAAATGAACTAGCAGAAGAAATATCTAGAGCAGTGTTTTTCAACTTTGGCAACCTTAACATATGTGAACTTCAACTCCCAGAATTCCCCACCCAGCATGCTGGCTGAGAAATTCTGGGAGTTGAAGTCCACATATCTTAAAGTTACCAAGGTTGGGGAACACTGATCTAGAACATTAGACAAAGGCTAGAAGTGAATTTCACTGAATATGTCTATGATGACATGGTGATAATGGTAGCAGAGTGCTCCCTCTTTGCCATATTTCTTGCTTTGGTAGACAATGCCCCAGCAATTGTGTTTAGAACTGCTCCCTTCTAAGAACTGGCAAAATCTGCCTATAGGCTGCTGTGAGAATTTTGGGGCATGGTATGATAATAGTATTGGTCATATTGATTAATGACCTGAGAGCTATTTTATATGTATACATAACACTGGGGCTGAGGGCTCTCCATTGGTTACCAATAGGCTTCTGGGGATAATTGAAAGTGCTGGTTTTGACCTTAAAAGTCCTCCATGACCTAGCTCCTGGGTAACTGCAGGGCCATCTTTTTAAAGTAAATCCCACTCTCCAGTTTGCATGTCTTGGGTAAGGATGCTGAGGGCTCTTTCCCCATGTGAGATCTAGGGGAAAGTGAGAAACTGTTATTTTCATCAGTGGCACCCATCCTTTGGAAGAGCTTCCCACCAGAAATCCAGATGGCTCCATTGCTACTGACTTTTAGAAAAGTCTTTAAAACAGAGCTGTTCAGAAGGGCATTCATTTAAGACATGTCATCAATGTATCTATACATTTTGTTACAGTAATTCATGATATAGTTAGATAGTTTTAAATAAGATTATTTCTGTACTATTTCTATATTACTATTATCTTCATTGTGGTTTATTATACAGCACTATGATTGCACTGGAAATTGGCAATATATACAAAAAGTCAGTCAATCAATCAAATGAATCAATCAGATGCTTCCATGGAAAGTCATGCTGTATCTCTAAATACAAATCCAAACACTGAAATAATAGCTCTAAAGCTAGTATTGAATCTGCCACTTCTGGATTAATTGTTATAAAGTACTACAGAGCTTACTTTTCTGGGGCAGATCTTTGCCAAGGACGAACTGGTGGTACTGGAGGTGGTGGAGGTGAAGAGACCTTAAAGGCCTCAGTGCCATTGTCAGAAGTACTTTTTCTCAGTGGTCTGTATGTCTGAGTCTTTGCAACAGGGTGTGCTTGAGTAGAAAGTGATGGACTGAAGTTACCTAGTGAAAGACAAAACGAAATCACAAAGAATCTAAATATTAATACCAGACAGACAGGGGTATACACACACAAACACATGCACACACACGCACAGAGCAGTGTGTAGTATTAAGATGCTGGACTAGGAATGGGGAGACCTAGGATCTAGTTCTCCCTTAGGCATGGAAGCTGACTTTGGGCCAGTAACTCTCTCTCAGCTCCAGACTGAGTACATGGAAGACATATGTCTACCAATTCTTACTGGACCACTGTGTTACATTATAGTCTGTAACCTTTAATGAAGAGGCCTTCATGCTGCAGTGGACACAGACCCTCCAAACATGGATTTAATGGAATGAGCTTTCCTATTACCCTCTAATCAACAGGGCTGAATAAAGGAAGTATCTTCTATTTACTCACCACTACTTTTGGATTGAAGCTAGTGGCCTTAATTCAGATCTCTCCTGCCATATTGGCATGAAATATGACTAATGCTACTTCTTCCCCAGATAATGGTGATCATCCATTTAGTGGGAAAATAAAGTTGCCTACATTTTCTCTTCACCTTTGAAACAGATAGTTTACAGCCCATAGTGCCCTCCCTTGAGCATCATGAACCATAAAGATCAAGAGTATTGTACATGCATACTCTGTTGCTGGGGATAAAGTTGCCTTTCTGTGTCCTCCTGGAATCTCTATGATTGCACCAGGCAGACTGAGCCATTTGTTCAATATTTTTCCACGTAGACTTCTTTCTTACTGAATCAGGATGAGCATTTGAGAAAAGACTTGTACAGCAAGTGAACATATGCTGTCTTGTCTATGGCTTAACTATTTTCCTTTTTTTATAGTATACACCTCTGCGATAGTTTAAAGATAGTTTAAGAACAAATGCACTGATGAAAACTGAAACTTGTCTGAGCTATGAGATCAAATGAAATAATTTAATGATGGCCTCTAAGGTTAGCCTGACTCTTGACCATTACTAAAAACTCAAAAGGAAACAAACTGATGTATGTTTATATATTTGCATATGTACTCATGCCTTATTAATATTGTTAAAAGATAAAGCCTTTCTTGTTAGTAATAATTTTCAGCATTAAAAAAAATATTATCCAGGAATATCACATTAGATGAAAATTTCTTTTTTGTGCAAACAAATACAGAATGCAGCATAAACTTAAAACTGAAAGGATATTTAAAATACATGCTATGTTCTGTGGTACAGTATATTTCGCATCATTGTGAAGCAAGGTGTAACATTCACATTTCAAGTAGGCTTTCTGTTTGAATAACAGAAACTTAAAATATTTTCACAATTCTTCCAATGCGTTCTTACCATATTGTCCATGTTAGTAAAATGGACGGACATTTATGGTAGATGCAACTTTTTAGAATTCATGTTTTGTCTTGTAATCCAATGAAAATTAGAGAAGTTAAATCACTGCTTTCAGTGCTCATGCTCAATGTGGGGCAGAATATATGCAGGTTTTTTGGGTTGTGAACATCTTTTATGCTGTGCTTAGAAACAAAGTAGTACTCTACATTGCTGCTACCTTCAGCACAAGATGTTATAGGAAAAGTTGTTGCAGATGCTATACTTTCAAACTCTGCTCTAATGAGTTATCTAACACATTACTCTGTATCAAAAGTGTTCTTGTCCAATCAGTACAAATCCAAAAGACAAGGTTAATAATATATATTGGATTATTTGTGAAAAGAAGCCAATAATGTTTGCCATAATGAAACAAAAACCACATACAAAAATTCAATACAGTGATAAACCTAGTTACTGTATGCAAGCACAATAAAGTATGGTCCAAGGGGGTTAGATACTGTTATGAGTTTCTGGCACTAAAAAGAAAACAGGCATGTAAAAGGAAGAAATAATTCCTACCAGTATTATATGCATATGAAGTATTATACATGTCAGTGTCATCATCTACAAAAAGAAAGACAAATGTTATAGCAGCAAAATATCTGTCCATTGATCCACAGCAAGGCAGCTTTGTCTTTGCAAACGTAAACATTCTCCCTTCAGGTAAACATTTTACTATTTGTGGTGTTTATTCTCCAGGGGGTTATCTTATTTTTCAATCATCACATCTTGGATAGCATAGACCTCAACCTTTATAATAGCATGGGTACTCCTTCTCCTTGGTTTTTCTCCCAACACTTTTCTAATATACACCTCAAGAAAGTCCCTGGACAGGATCGATAACATTGATATTACCTTGGAGGTCAGTGTGAAACTAGCATTAGATATAACAGCACAGGAACAACAACTCTGCATCACTAATCTGAGTCTCAGTAGGAGTATAATCCAACCAAAATTAAACATTTTTAAAAAGGCCCACTGATTTCAATAAGAAAGATTTTGATAAGAGCTCAAGTTATAAAATAAAATATGGCTTACTCAATATTTATTTTAAACACTGGTGTTTAAAAGCCCTGGGTGAACAAAAAGAATTTTCTCTTCTGCCAAAAAGACCAGAAAGCAGAGACCAGGCTGGCATCTAACCCTAACCCTTTTGAGACAGACCAGATTAGGAAGCACACTCTACCAGAAGATCAGAACTACAGTATAGTTTATTGAGATTGGCTATAATAACAGAATCTTGCAAGTCAGCTTGTGTCCCCCCTGCCCTCTTCTACCCTAGTAATTCAGGAAGGAGTCAGCCTGAGTCTACTCTTAATATTCTCTCTTCCCAGGCCTTAAGGAATCCTTCTGTCTTCTATGTTTACATAACAGGTTCTGAATATTTGCTTCAAGTCCATCTTCTGGTCCAGACTGTCTGATGAAACTATACTTACAGCACCATCTTTAAAAAGACTTTTTCCTCTCACCTCAAGGATTTGTTTTCAAAAAGGACAACTGAAATATCTGTTAATTGTTTTGTGAAAAGATTATTATTAATAAACAAATTAAGTCATCAGGGATACTGTGATGCTTGCAGTAAACCAGCCAGTTATGAGTGGAAGAGGAATTAACTGAACATTTCCTCATGTCTCTATCAAAAATATATTGCCTTAATTTCAATGAATGTAGAGTTATTTCAAACTCCACACAGAAGGTTAATGAGTATTTCCTGAGAAGGCAGCTATGAAGCGATACAGAGAAAATCATGGCCGACCCAGTGTGTCTACTGATACAGTTTCTGCTTCCCATAATGGAAACAGGATAATTAAAAATGTGCTGCTGTATTTATGCAAAAATTCAGTGTGATGAAGCGCTAGACTTGTACTCACAATACCAGAATTCAAATTAAGATGCCACAGATGAACTATAACGGATATGCAGAGAAGCTTTAATTTCATTCCATTACTGAAGCAGTTAAAGTGATTTGTTGCCTCGGTAGACAGTAGCAATGGGAATCATGCCTTGCTAATTCCAAGGAATGCAAATGAAAACTTGTTTTGTTTGGTCTCCTTAACCCATTCATCTTAAGCCCTTCACTCTCTTCTTCTTGAAAAGACCGCTAAGTAGGGGTTTTTTTAAACTGAAAAAAAAATAGTGAACTGCATTTGAGAGACTTACCGGATTGAAGATACAGTAAATAGACATTTCATGACATGGGACCCGAGTCTCTAAGAGATTCCCAAATAGTTTCTGCTGCCCAATCCAGGTAGTGAGGGAATGTCTACTAAGAGTTCCTATCTACTAGGTGGTGTAGTGGGAGAGGGCCCAGTCGCAGGTGTGAGAACTCCCCTGCTGTGGAACAGCCTGCTCCTCAGGCAAGAGTAACCTTACCTCTTGTGGCCTTCTGGAAACTGGCTGTTCTAGAGGCCTTTGAGAATTGTTTGTAGAGCCATTTGGTGCCTCCATTAATCCAGTCTATAGAACAATTAGTTCTGTATTGTTTTCAATGTTGGAAGACACCTAGTGTTGTGCACAAGTAGGCAGCCATGGAAATGGAAATTATAATAATTATAATAATAATAAAAAATAAAGAAACAAACACATAAATAAAAAATGGAAAATGTAATTTATGGTTGTTATTATTATAATTAATTGTTGGGCATTAGTGTTGCTTTTCTTACGTTTTTTAATACCTACAATCAGTCTACTACCCCTCTGGATTGAGGTGTGATGTATCACACCAATAAATGAACAATAAAAGGAACATCTATATAAATTCTAATCTGTTATGTAGCAAGTCTACAAAAAAAGGAAGCAAGAAGTAGAAATTATACATACCAGGCTTATGAACCATATGGATTTGCTTGAACATTGTCTTATACCAATCCTTTGGCCTGTCAACAGTCTAAAAAGAAATTAAGTTTTAAACAATCAGCAGGTAAATAAGCAGTACAAAAGCCAGACTACTTACAGAATAGGTAACTAAGTGGTTCATTTAGCTCTTGATAAATCCTCATAAATAGTTGGTGTGTCTTGCTTGATTTAGGGTTAAAATGATACAGTATACTGATTATACGCAAAATAAAAATGTGGTGGGAAAGGATCCTGGTCAAATGAAACAAATAAGATGGCAGTGCCTTTCATCAGATTCCATGTGTCTGAAGACCAGTACTAACATCAGGAGTTAATGTTATCTATTGATGCATGCAACTGAATTACATTAAACTACATTAGATTGTTAGGCATATTTTTTACTGTAAAAGACTAGATGTCACTGTTACATTATCATGGAATAACAACATAAAGGAAAAGAACAAGTACTATTTAAGAGTCTGACGGAATATATATGTGACATTTATTGATGATGATTAATCTGGAAAGGTACCATTAACAGAAGCTTTATTCTCACTAGAGTTTTTCTTCTTTTCCCTACATTCTTCCAGTAACAGTCCATAATCAAGTAACCCTTTGTCAAAGTAGGCTCCTAATTTTCATTGGCCAAAAGCCCTTGTTAAAACCCCCAGAAAAGCAAGCTACAGTATTTCAACACTACTTACGTCAAACTAATCCAGATGGACCAGGTTTACTTATTCACATATAAATGATAGATTTATTTATCATCCAGATAATCAGAAGGCTAACAATGAAGCCAACAGACTGAACTGTGTGATTAAAACACATACACCACCAACTATGCAGACTTTTTGTGGGCAAAACCCTTTTTTTGACAAGAAGTTTTGTAGTGACAACAAAATCCAGTTAAAGTAAGAATCTTTTGTTCTTTTTGTGGGAACAAGCACACTCAACATTTGTTATTAGGAAAAACAACATCACTCCATTATAACTGGATAAATTATAGAGTGCTATTAAAATTCCAATGACCAAATGTTGGAAATTTTATAGAAGGCAAGGCAAGAAACTAAGCTATATATAAATTTAAGCTGATTTCATTTCTCTTGAAAGCAATGTAGATAAAAATTGGCTTCAGCCCAAAGTCTTTGCTTAATTTGTACATAAACTGGTAAGCGGTAGAGAACATAAATTCAGAGAGAGTGCAAGCAATACCTCTTTATTTTCTTTAACTTGTAGGAAGAAGAATGTATTATTGCTGTTGATGCTTTCATTAGTTGAGTTTGGGCAAGACCTAATTTTCTCCTAAACATGCATCAAACAAATTTCTATAACATGCGACAATATACATGGGTTTCTCATACTTTCTAAATGGACATTATTTTCCACACAGGTGATTAAGCTGTGATACCAATAGAAGAGAATATGTGTAGCTCAGGGTTGAACTGTGGAGTCCCTGTAGTTCTCTGAGCTTGGATGTTTTCTTGCAAATGTTTCATTACCCGGCTAGGTAACATCTTCAGTGCACTAAAGATGTTACTTAACCGGGTAATGAAACGTTTGCAAGAGAACAGCCGAGCTCAGAGAACTCCAGGGACTCCGCATTAAGCTGTGAGTCAGCTCTTTGAAATTATGGATACAAACCCAAGTAATCCAATTGGAACGACCCATTATTTCCTATCCAGCTCCTCCCTGCCTCCCCTCCTCAGTGGAGGAATTCCCAGGCAGGATTCTAGGAGTGGTAAGGTCTGTCATAATTCTAGGGACAGATATTCCACTATATTCCCAGAAATGCAACTCCTCATTTACACTGTCTTCTCCTGCCCTGGTGCAAGACAGGAAAGAGGGTTGGTGTTCAACAAGTACTCATCAGCCTTTGGTCAACAGGCAGATTGTATGCTTGCATAACCTTACCTCCTTTGGGGAAGAGATCACATACGCCCAGAATCTAATAAACACACAAACATTTCTAGGAAAGCATGAATTGAAACTAAGCTACAGCCACATCCATATTATTTAATGCCCATAATTTTCTTGAAAGTTCATCAGCTATCTGTAGTGTGGATGAGGCAAAATTACGACAAACAAGAGCAAAGCAACCAAAGGCTGCCACTAACAAGTGCAGCTTTAAGAAAACACACTTTGTAAACTGTCGTATTTGGAAACAAATCCATATCTTCTGTTTAAATGCAGGAGGATGCAGATGGATGGTTAATCGTGGTAAGAAAAGTAAGTGCAACTTTCCAAAATACTGGATGGTGGAAGTGCAGATTTTCATTGGATAAATGGATGGCCCTATACATTTGCTTAGTAAAAATAAATAAATGAAATGCAAAACCATGTACAACCAGTATCTCTGGAAGTGATACAATGTTATCTTGTAATATGATGTAAATAAGCTAAGCCTGTGCCCCTGTATCCTTTCTAGGAACAGATTAATCATTGCACATAATAAAAACAGAGGACATAATTCTATTAAATGGAAATCATGCATACGTATGTACTTCATATCTTACTATTTGGAACTGTGCTTTTAAAATGTACTTTAATACATTTATTTCCAAAACCTTCTTCTACATCTGAAATAATTTATTCATACATTTGGGTAGGGGGGATTCCATTATTGTTCTACATTGTATCTAGCTCTACACTTTTGCCATATATGAAGAAATCTAAAATTATATTACAATAACTACATTTATATTCATAAACTAGCTTCTATTTTACTCATAATGCATTTTAATATTTACACTGCTTGGGTCCCAAAAAACACAGAAATGAAATTATATGAATTCTAAACATGAAAAATTAAAAAGGCCAATGTTTTCCATAGCCAGCATGTTGGAATCTGTATTTTCCAAAACAGCTTCCAAAATCTAACAGATATCCTCATACTTTATAGTATTTTCAGTGGCCAATTATTAACAAGTCAATACAACAATTCTAACATAGTCTCAAATGTTCGAAGTATTTTAAGTAGGCCTTAACAGAACTGCTGGAGATTACCCAAGTTAGAATATTTTATTTCCATCCTCCAGAGGCTAATAGGGTGCATAGCTGCTGTAAACTCTTGGAAAGAGATCAGAATTCCTAAATGGGTAGACATTACATGTTGCAAAAATATGCCTTTCCAAACCCTTGGCTGAAAGATACTTTTGTTCAGCAAATGGCACAATATACAGTAGTCAACTTTGCTGCACTATTAAAATCTCCTTTTCTTGCAGCTGGCCTTTACTTGATGTAGCCAAAACTTTTAATTTCACACTTCATTGCAGAAGTCAACAAGCTTAAAATATGGCTTCTTCTCATTCAGTGTTCTGTCTTTGGGCAAAGATACCAAAGAATAAATATGCATGATTCTGAAGTGCACAGAAGTGCATCATATTCCGCTTGCCCCATGAAATGCGCAGATAAATTACTTTAGGCATTCAAGTTACTGGGAGGTCCAGACCAATACTGTTGAGACCGTCTGAGTAAAACTACCATCAGACTTGCTTGTATTCACTAATTCTACTTCAAAAATTGCATGTATATTCCTGTAACTGCTAAAACAATAGACAAATAACAAATGGCAACAAATGTCATTATTTCAAATGTAATATGTTTAACTCTCTGACTGTTTAGGACTCGATGCTTATATGTTTTCTTATCACTGATACTTCTAGTGATAGTGACTCACATGCAGTTGCTGAGAGGAATCATAAGGCTATTTCAGTGCAGACATCAATATGTTAAGCATCCTCAGATATAATTTTCTTTTCTATCAAGACTGGAATCTGAGTATCCTGGATTGGATGAAGAAAGGCTACCGGTAAATCCAGGTTAGTTGGAAGGCATATTCATTGTGGCAACTAGCAAAACCAATTTCCATGTCAATTAAGGGTCGCGTTCAAAGCTACTTTTAAAGGAGCAATGAGCACTTTGGCATTCTATGAGTCATCCAGGCACTATATTAAGTATATTAATTTCCCAGCAAAGAATAATATTTCTCGCAACTGAGCTTGAACAGAGCACTGCATACATATTTAATGAAAGGGCAACATAGATCAGAAAACACATTTGATTTTAAAATAATACTCTTCTATTTTCCATAGGAAGGGATAAACTGGAGTCAAAGGCTAATGTAAGTAGCTGAAAACAATGACACTTACGTAATCATCATGAAGTTGTGCCATTGATTATAATAAAATGAGTTGAGGTCTGGCAGAGCAATATCAGGCATATCTACTTGGAAGTAAGTCAGACTGAGCTCAGAGGAACAACTCCCTGTTCATTTAGGTTAGAGCAGTTACCTACTACCTGTAGTTATTTATTTATGAATTTTATCAGCCCATCTTTCTTCTACCAAGCTGGGCATGGAGATGCACACATTTCTTTAAAACAAGCTTTAAAACAATAAATACATCAAACCCTGTTTAACTTAGGAATACATATTTGCAAATAAATGTAAATATCCTCTGCAACTGAAAATACCAGTGAAGTTGTAGATTCACTTTATCTGAATCTGAAGGTGAATTTGTGTGTATTGCATTTTTAAAACAACCTTGTAAATAGATCTAAATTGTGGTGCATGAAACATAATGCTTTATGCCTCTCATCCTTGTGTAGTTGTGCTAAGATATAAAAAGTCTACTTCTATGCATACTTTCTCAAGAATAAGCCCTCATAAACTCAGAAGAGTGACTTCTGAACAATCTTATGCAGAGTTGAACAGGGTATCATGAAACATTTATGCAATTTTTTTTAAAATGCTAACCAAAACAGGATATCATTACAAATCGTAGATAACCAAGAATTAATTTGAAAGATTTTAATTTATAGCTGGTTATAAGCCCAGTCCATTAAATACAAATTGGAGGAATTTAATTCATATGTTAATATAAATAATAACCATTCTATATAATCAAGCTATGGCTTTAAAAAATCATAACAATCTCCTTGATATCATTAAAGGAACTGTCAGTTTTAAATGAGACAGAAATCTACCATGGTTACAATGAGAGTTAGTTGTTTTAAAAAGACTGCATGAAAACCATACTTAAGGGAAGCAAGGATCCACTTAACTTCCGCCCATCTTAGGATTTAAAGGATGTCTCATCTTACCTGACTCAAAACTTCCCAGAAACTTTGCTTCTCTCCATCAGTTTCCCCCCTCTCTCCCCCTGCCCCCAACTTAATCTCCCCTGGAGCCATTGGCAGGTAAGCTACTCCCACTGCTGCTGTAGCACTGCTTTGCTCAAAGAAGTCACCTGAAATCTGAACAGCTCTGCTGGTTTCATTCCTGCTCCTCCTTGTCCTTTTATTCCTCTAGCTGAGAAGATTGGCAAACTGTTTTTCCTACCAGTTGCAGCAGCTACTGCTGCCGCCTGGCCCAGACCGAGCGGGCTGCTGGAGAAGCAATATGGAAAGAATGCTTCAGCTGAAAACAAAACACTTCAGTGGGGCTTCCTAAAAGCACTCAAGCATTAACTAGTGGCAAGCTTTCCATGTTGACCTGAAAATGTACTTTCCTCTCTGCCTCTTTCCATGTCAGCAAAGGAGAGAGCGTAGTTCCGTCCCGCGCTTCCCAGTGCTACCAGCTAAGTCAGAGATTGTTTAGTGTGGGGGTGTGTACATTCTTTCATTCATTTTATTTCTGCTAACTCATGAATACAAGGAATGGTAGGATATGCAAGGGCATCTTGATAAAAGTGGCAGAAGGTGCCAAACTTTGAGCAAACTTTAAAAGAGGTTGGAAAGATAGAGCAAACAAAGCTTTTTCTAACAACTGTATAGTGGAGAGTGAAAATAGCAAATTAAAACAGGGCTTTTCATGTATACCTGTCCTTTTCCCCACTGCTCACGTTTTATTTCTGTGACTGTGTGCATATTTTACTTCATGTTATGTAAAGCCAAGAAGAATGTGAAAAAGCCATTACCAACAAGACAGTCATTGTATGAAGTGCACACACACACATTTCCTACCGTTCTAATTGCTGTTGGAATTCCTGATTCATCGACTGGCCCAATTCCTGCATAATGTGGTGCTTTAATGACTGTGACTTTCTTCTCTTCCTCTGAAGTCCTACAGATCGGTATGGTGGTGGCGGTGGTCATGCTGCTGCTGCTGTCACCACCACCAGCAGAGTGTGCATGCTGTGAGTACGTCTCTGTGGATTCTACAAAGATAACACAAGGTGCTACAATGGTTGAATTACCTTGTTTTGCTTGCATATTTGGCAGTGCATTTTCAAAAAGCAGACAGACACACATTGATGAACTTCTCTGTACCACTAGACGGAGAGCAGCGTGAGAACACAGCAGACAGCTCTCCAGGGCAGAGAACACCTGATCTCTAGGTCTTTTGCTTCAGATGCTGGAAGGCTTCTACAAATCAGGGCAGATAATTTGGGCTGCAAATGTCAGGATGGCTTACCGGTAGCAACAAAGAGATAATACTCTTTAACTTCTTGTCGCCATCTTGCGGCCATCCAGATTTTTGCAGCCTCAAACTGGTAGCCCTATGTTCACACCCACCACTAACCCATGGTTTATTTTTTCATAAATTTCTAAATGATGCACAACTGGCTGAGTTCTAATCCATAAATCATAGTTTACAAACCATAATGATTAGGTGCAAGCCAAGCAGACCCAGGACAAATTCTAGGCAGATGGGAGTTTGAATAGTAGGAAGGGGAAGGCATTTTATAATTGTAAAATCATAATAATGACACTTGACTTTGAACAGAAACCTCAACAGGCACAGCGGTTGCTGCAAGGGCTGCTATTGTAAACACAGCAGGTTAAATACAGAAGCTGCTTTGCTTTGCTTTGCTTTGCTTGATCTGGGAGACCCTCACAAATATCTATACCTCCATCACATAGGAGCTGCAAGTATGTATAGAGTATACCATACTTGTTTTCCCCACCTTGAATTCTTGAGGAAAGAATAAGATTATAGCAAACCTTTTAATCCATTTTGTAATCTGTGGGTTAGATTTAAATTTAGTATTGCTCTAAGAAGATCTACTGAAACAAATGACTAATGTAAACATCAATAAAATTGGATACAATCCCATGTCATGGGAGTATTGTTGCTATGACAATAGAAATACATAACTATGATAAAATGTGTTTTTGGGGATAAATGTTCCTGAAGGTATGCTGGGTCCCATCTTTTCAGGTAACAGGAAAGGTTCAAGGAACTCCTGACTAAGACTTTACTGTATGAGGGTTGCATTAATGGAAGCTTATTAGGACTGTAGTTCCAGGTTTAAACCCTAGCTCTCAACTAGTCAAAAGTTATTAGCTAATCTGGAAACGTTTGTCCTGAAGAACATGATTAAAATGATTTCTAACCATCAAATAGATTACTGTGGTTTCTCCATCTGGTAGCTATAGATTGAGGTTCCTTGGGAGAAGGACAAGGTTGTAGCTTTCCAATCCCCAATTTTGCACAGCTTAACTGGGCTGCTAGGCTCTATCTCTGCAGATGTCTCTAACTTATAAGAGTAAAATTCAGAACAATGGGGAAGTCACATATCCATGCACTCCCCCCCCCTCATTTTTTAAAATACAAAATTAAATCTGAGTCCTTACAAGTCAGATATTTTCACAGAAAATTTTCAAAATTGCAGAGCAGATTTGATCAAAGGCAGTATCTCAACATTCCCATTTTACAGATGAGAAGGACAAACACTAATCAGGACAGAAACAGCCATAGCAGAGTTTTGTTAACATTCCGATTTAATTGTGTTACTATTATAAACTTTTTGAAATCTTGCTGATGTACTGCAACATCACCTATGGTTCTAGAGTAAATCTAATCTATTTTCCTGGTCTGAAGTAGGTATTATTTAATTAATGTTTTTAGTTGAACTACTAAATGAATAGTAGGGCTATTAATATCTGACATCAACTCTTTTCTTGTTTGTTTAAATTTGCAAATCTATAAATAAGCTAGTTAGGTGCATATATGGTAAGGTGGTTTAGCGTGTATAAAGTATCTAGATATCTGGGCTTTTCTCCAAATACGTATAATACTAAATTTAGGAAAAAAAGGAATGTGTTTCTACAGCCCAAGAATGGCAAAAACAGCCTGCCTTCATCATGAAATTCTAAGGCACAACGAGACTTGACATCAAGTGCATGAGTTCAATTAATCTGCAGGCTTTTAAAAAAATGTAAATATAATCTGCAGGGAGATTGAAAAGGGACTTTTGCAAACTGAGGAGAGAATTTAATCTTTCTCCTTATTATGGCTGTAGCAGAAAAAAATTCTCAGAAACTTTGCTCATAATAGGAAGATTATTTAGGAACCTTTCATTCAATCTGTAATATATTTTTGATGTATATCTCTAGCTATACGTATTCAAATATTTCTCGCCACATTCAAGGTCTAAATTATAATGCACAAAAGGGAAGGCCAGATTAAAATTTAAAAAAAAAACCCCAAAACAAATGTTCTGAGGGCATCAGGCCCTCAAATATAACCTCGTGGAGGTTCAGTGATGTAGAATATCAATTTAGAGGAGAAAAACTGACAATTGATTGGAAGAGAACATGGACTGCAGCAGGTAGAACAGAAAGAGACAGAAAGATATAAAAAGGTGAGAAAAAGATTCTCTTTGACCATGTTCTCACTTGTGCTCACACGGCACAAACATGCCCTGGTCACTTTTGTTTTTTTGTTTTGTTTTTTGGCTTTTCCCTAGACACTGTCTTCATCTCATCTCTAGTCCACGAGTGAGACAGGCTTAAGCCGCCACAAATTATACCCATATCAAAGTATTTTCTCCCTTCTCCAGCCCACTGAAGGACAGCGTCAGTGAGGTACATTTTGTCACCAATTTCTTTGGAAGGTAGGCAGGTGAGTGACAGTGATTGGGAACATGGCAGTAGAGGCAAGATTGGGAGTGCCAAATTTTATGCTGGTATGGTTTTCTGCAACTGAGGGACAGGGGGAGAGGATTTTTATTTGGCAGTGGTGAATGACCCAAAGCGTGAGCAAACTGCACTGTTTTTAAATGTTCCCAGGAATAAAGGGAGGGAAAAGTTTATGAAGAAACCTGAGTTTTTGGTGGAAGTTGGACTGGATACTACCCAATGGTCTACACATTTCCCAAATAATAGTAATTTTAAAAAAGGATTTAAAAAGGAGAGGAAACACCATTGTTATGGGAGAATCTGTTCGATGGGGATGGGGTACTACAACTGATGGAGGGAATATTAAAAGAGAATGTGTGGGACAGGAGACAATAGAATGAAATTGCTGGTAATGTAATCCTGCATATTCCACATTGCAATATTTTGTGGCATGGACTCAGTAGCTTTACTTAAAAAATCTACAATACACTACACTTGATTTAAGTTCAACTTTATGAAGAAATATTTAATCCTGCTCACAGTTGTGAGGTTATCGTTGCTCACAATTTTTTCAAGATTTTTTTAAAAAAAATATTGGAAGAACAATTGTTATAAATTCATAAAGGATATGTTGACCTATAGTCTTAATTTATATTGTGGTGGCAGGGATACAGTGTAATGTTTATTTAAAAGTTTCATACAAGCAGTACACTTCCACTCTCACTGAGCAAATTTACATATTCTTAACTCCAAATGGTCCGGGTAGGGTTTCTTTCCAGGTTTTTGTAGAAAAACCTGCTGGCTGCCACAAAAACCTGCTGCCATATTTTCTATCCAGGAGGACAGTATTTCCAAGTCCTTTGGAAGCTAAGAAAAGAATGGGTTTTTCTGCTACCATTACCAGTACGTGTGATAGCAAAATAAGAACAACAAGAGCTAGAACCTATTATGAGAAAAGTGAATTATGAAGCATACTGTCTGCTGGAAATCAGGGACAATTTCAACGTACATTCCTATTAATCAGTGAATAATGCTTACAGACTTAAAGAAATGTGTCATTTTCATTTGCATGCCAAACTCACCCATTGTCCTGCTCTGTTGCAGGAGAGAGGTGCTTGAACTGAATGAGACTGGTGGAGAGTACGCCAAAGAAGGGGAGAAAGGTCTCTGAAAGTAACTCATTGGGCTGGTTGCCAAGCTAGAATTCCCATTCACTGTTATCTGAGCCTGAGAGGAAAAAACCAAAAACGAAATCCCAAAATCATATCCAGTCATATGCAATAAACCACTGAAGTCTGAATTCCACCATCGAAATATAAAAAATGAAGGAAAAAATGATAAAATGTGTAACAGTAGCCAGCTTTCCAGCGTTTACCTACAATCCATAATTATTCCTGTTACAAAAGGCAGCTAGAATTACAGGGAAATTAGATTATATTTATAGACTGACTTTTTCCCAAGAGTTCATGATACCTTACATAGGAATTGGATCTCCCTTTGTTTTATCCTACAGCAAGAATTCTGTAAGAGAGTCTGGTCTGAGAGAGACCAACAAGCCCATAGTTTCTCAGTGAGTTTTTATGGCTGAGAGCAGATCTGAGCCTGGATCTTAGTTTTAATACAACACCTTAATCACTACATTATATTAGCTTTCACAAAGGCCTCAGTTAAAGCAGCATCTGCATAACTGCTTACAAACTGAAGAGAATAGTCAAAATTGCACTCTCCATTCTCCTGAAGATCTAGCTTGACTCTTACTACTATTCACTTGGAGTTCTCCAACCCCAAATATGCCAAGAAAAATAAGAAAATCTCCTTCAAGTGACAAAAATCAGTGAATATTGGTCAGGTTCAATGAACGATATGTACATTTCTATAAGAATTACACACTACCTGCTGAATTCTGTCAATATTCCTACTATTTTCTTTTGAAAGAGTGCCAACATTTTAGACATCCTTCCATTTCTTATGATCACACTGCTGCAACTTTTTCAACACTTAATGGGTTGCTAATTTTTTGAAAAATCCAGATAAGCTTTGGGCACTGAAAAACCTTTTCAAAATCAGGAAGAACTGAAGGAAGATTACTTTGAGTGATGTGTCAATTCACTCTTCTCCACATTTCTACCTGTGTGGATGGAACTGAACTTGTAACCTGGCACATGATAAGGAGGAACTACAGCATGTATAAAGCTAGCTACAGTTTCCAATGTAAATATATTTAATTGGAAGCAATCCCCTCTACTTTCCACTATTCTGGTAAATGATGGGTGTTGTCTGACAAATATTGGGCTAACCTAAAAACTTTCAGGTATTCCATATCATGTTATGGTCTTTGGTTAATGTTGTTTTACTTTTTGACAGGTCATTTACAATTTAAACTGTTGTACTTTTGGAATAATTTGTTTTATTAAGCAAGAGTCAGGGGTGTCTATTGGTCATAGTCAAAAAGCCAGGATGGTGGCCATGATGATCAAAGCTCTGCTGGTTTTGTGTATAGCAACATAAAAAATAGGCAGAGCTTCAATTGAACCATAATGGCCACAATATTGACTTTTTTTACCATACCCTGAAAACTCCTCTGTGTAAGCCCTTACCAGTTTACTCTAGCCATACAGCTGTCATCTATAAAGTACACAGAGTGGCTACAGGTAATAAGAATAAATGGATGCTATGATTAAGTTGCTGATTCTAACCTGGGCACAAATTTTATTTATTCATTTATTGGATATATGTCTTATCTTTCTGTCAGTTTGATAATTAGGGCAAATGTGATTGTCACCTGTTTAGGGTTTTTTGCTTTTATGTAAAGATTTAGGCTTTTAGTCTGTTACTTTCCTTGAATTTTTTAAAAAAGATAATAAAACAACTCATATGCACTGTAGAAACTGGAATGTAAAATTATACTTTATTTCTGTCACACACACACATACAAAGGGCAATGTTAGTTCAGGGGAAAAACTGACTCAGAAGCAATTTCATGCAGTCAGTGATTACAACTACTAGATATCAAAGTTGTGTTACATGTGTAGTCTTCAAATATTTTAAATTCCATTGTAGGGGCAGGTACAGCTTTCTCACTTCTTTCTCACTTGTTTGCAACTTGCCTAAGGATTCTGTTCATATAAGCTAGCATCTTACTGTAGATTTGCTTATATTCTAAACTCTACTCTTCTTTAATATGAGGGACTGAAGAATTATAATCACTAGACTCATTCACGACAGTTGGAGCAATTGGAGCAAGGGTGTGTTGCAGTGAAAAAAACTTGATACTGAAATGTAGAGAGCAATGATAAATCTCTAAGGCTCATTCCACACAGACAGTGATTATACCCCCACCCCTGGTAATCATTTCTTGTTAGAGGCCCAGTTGATGTTCCCACCTACCTTTCCTTGCACCACCAATTGCTCCTTCTAGCCAATGGTGAATCTCCCAAATATTAATGCCTTTGGGCAGGGGGTAAATCAAGCTGGCCATTTTTGTATTTTCAGTTGGCAAGAAAGAAAGTTGGGTGTGGGAGGGAATGAAAAGCTAAGATACTTCGGTTTTTGGAGGTGGGCGAGGAATCCAGAAGCAGAATGCAGGATGTGGCAATGTTCCCGCCAATGGAAAGCCATCTCACCCCCACAGCTCAAAGGAACTGCTCAAAACTGTAATTGCAGTGTTTTCTGGATCAGGATCCAAACAGATTAATTTTGGAAACTAATCAGCTCAGGTTTCCAAGACAGCCAGAAGCTTCACAGTAAGGGTTCCACTGAGCTCAATCTGGAACATTGCATCTGGAAGGTGCCTGAGTTTGTGTTAGTTCCTTTTTTATTTTCTAATAAGCAGTGTAATAAAGTTACAAACTGAACACATGTGTGCCTATGCATGTGTGCTTTAAGCTTCCATCACATTTCTGTTACAACCAAAATACAATCTTTGCAAACTGTAAGTTAGAGTCAGATAGCACACTGATGACAGAAGGTCAGTTTATGCATTTCTTAGATATGAAAGGTCCAAATAATAAATATGAAGTCCTGTGTGAGGAGGAAGCAAGCACAAATCATGTGTATTTTCTTTTTACTTCACCAAATCCAATCCCCAAACTCCTTGCCCTGTAGTGGTGGATTAGGGTAGCTGGAGTTCTATGTAGAAAGTTAAATGTTTATAAAATGTATTGTAAAAACACTTTTCATTAAAATATTTATATGTTGTTCTTAATTATGGCTATTATCAGGGCATCTATCAATAAAAAAATACTTAAAAGTAATCTACAAATAGAAAAAAAATTAAAGTCAAGAAATATAAAAAGAAAAAAACCACACACACACACAATAATGCAATAGCAACTGTGTTAGTAAAAACATAGTAACCACCATCACCATCACAAGAGCTGATAATTGCATATTATCAAAAAGCTGTAAAATGAGCTCCCTCAGGAAATTACTGCAAACATTATTTTAAATGTAGAGAGTGATTCAGGAACCCCTAACTTGGAAATATGAATACTGTCCATTTTTTTTGGGACCAAACCATCCATAAATCTGAGCTACAAGTATAATGATAACTCAGTCCAGAACATCTGAAGGACATTTGAAGAGCTATTGCAACGGTTGGCATCAGAGGACCCTCTCAGCATTCCCCAGAGATCACAAAGTGGGCAAAAATTTTGTTCTTGCCTTTTTTGCCCTGAGGTGTTTGGAGGATTGAAGGGACAAATGGGCGCCTTAAACTTTCATCGCTTAGTCTTACCCCCAAATGGGTATGGTTTTTCCCACTAAGGGCAAAATAGTGTATTAAGGCTCTTTTGCACCTCCCTAAGCCTCAACATGCAGAAAAAATCCAGTTGAACACTCCAGCACCATCCAGTTTGGAAGGCATCACTAGCCGTGCCCCTTGCAGGCCCTCAGCTGGGACACAAAGTACAACCCCTGGGCCAAAGTAGGTTGCTCCCCCAGACCTAATTGAATAGATAAACAATTGCTTTCTATTTCACTGATATTGTAAAAACCACCATTTTAGAATGTTGGAACCGCCTTCCTCCCACCGTATTCTCTGATGCACAGAAAAGGCTGAAAATCTTCATAGGACAAGGTACCACCACTGACCAGCATGTCAATTAACTAAATGAGGTGACAGACCAAAACTAGTTCTTTTCTGCCTTGACAGCCTGGTCAAACAGAATGGAAGAGAAAAGAGGAAGGATAATTACATGAGAGCTGGCAGCAGTGGAGGTTAAGGTGGTGCCGTCAGACGCAGCAGACGTCTGGCTCAAGGTTGGGGAAGGTGTTTCAGAACAGTCAGTAGTATCATAGTTACAGTTCTGTAGCTCATCTAGCATGGCAGTGGAGAACTCGCTCACTGGCCGAGAGGAGAACTCACTCATGGCTGACAGAACAGAGTCAGTTTCAGTCTTGTGGAGCGTAGTGTCAGGTGCTAGGAAAGGGTATGTATAGGAGAACGGTGAAAGGACCGGGGTTCTATAAAAGTGTGACGGCCAAAAATCATCACGCGGTGATAAAGGAAATGACGTTGCATGGGTGCCACTGTCAGGTGAGAGGGAGGGTTGGTGAACTGGTACCATGGGAGAAGGAGGTGGTGAGGGAGACAATGGTGCAGCTTCAGCTGAAGTTTGTCTGTGTGTCTGGGAAGCATTTACCTCCATCACATTGGCAGTCACTTTCTGGTTTCCAAGCTGAAGTTTGAGAAACAAACAAACAATCAAAACATAAAACATATTACTAAAACTGATTTTTAAAAGCGCTTTCCTTTTGTTGTGTTCAAGAGTATACAAAAAAAGACACACACACTGTGTGTGGTTTTTTTTCAGGCTTTGAAAATAAAAATCAGGTAGAAAAGAAAATAAAGTTTATTTTAGAAGGAAAACATACTAAGTGAATTTGTCAAGTAGTAATAGAAGCAACGCCAGAAACTACAGTGTACTGAAATAAACATTTATATTGGTTTCCCCGGCTTAAATTGTTTGAAGTTTTGTTTAAATTAAGTATGATTAAGCTTAATTTATCTATCACTAAAATTAGAGGGGCATTTTTAAAACACATAATTGCATCTGCCTTTTTTGATGGAAATAAACAAAAACAAGCCCTAATTCCTAAAGGGCTCCTCTATCACGGTTTCAATGGATGGAAGCAGTGTACACTAGGAGAGTACAAATTACGTGCCATTTTTCTAGAGCCAATGGCAAAAAAGATCATGATACTCATTCCTTG